GCGCTCTAGCCGGGGCAACAGAGTAAGACTCTGTCTCAAAAAAAAAAAAAAAAATCTCTTCTCCTGAACAATTTGGAGTAAGTTGTAGACATTGTACTTCACCTTTAAATACTTAAGGGCGAATCTCCTAAGAGAATTATATTCTCCCTATGTGACCACACTAGAGTTCCTGCACTTAGGGAGCATAACATTAATAATTGAAATTCTCCATGTTGGCAAAGTCATTTATAGCTGTTTTCACCCTAACCCAACATCATATATTTTATGTACTTGTCATGTCTCTTCACTCTTCTTTAATCTAGAACAACAACCCAGTCTTTGTTTCTTATATCCTTGACGTTTTTATAGAGTCCAGGTCAGTTTTGTGGGATGCCCTCCAGTTCCTGTTTGTCTGATGTTTCCTTGTAATTAGGTTCAGCTTAAATTTGGGGGGTGAGGTTAAGACTAGGAGATGTCTTGCCCTTCTTTGTGCAATACATCAGGAGGCACATGATGTTCAACTTGTCTCCTTACTGGTGGTGCAGAATTTAGTCCCTTGGTTAAAGTGGGGACAGCAAGACTTCTCCTCTGCAAAGTTCCCTTTCCCCTGTCTAATTAATAAGTAATCTATGTAGTGGCTTTGTGGTGTTGTGGGAATAGCCTATTGTGCCCCTCAAGCTTTTACCCAATAGTTTTATTTTGAAATGATTTCAAACTTACAGAAAATTTGCAAGAATAGTAAAAAAACTAAAATGCCCATAAATACTTAACATTTTGTTCTTCATTTTCTCTCTCTCCCTCCCTCCCTCCCTTCCTCTCTTTCTAAATAGATAGATAGATAGATGATAGATGATGTGGACATAGATATTTATATCTCTACCTATGTATCTATCTGGATGACTTTTTTCTAAACCATTTGAGAATAAGTTGCAGACGTTATGCTCTTTACTTCCAAGTCCTTCAGAGTACATTCCCTAAGAAGAGGACATATTCTTACATAATCAGTGTGGTTATCAACACCAGGAGATTTAACACTAACACCATACTATTAACACCTTCCACTTCTCAAGACTGTATTTTCCCTGTATACCTCCATAGACTTTTGGCTTACCTTACCTCATATGCCTCCCTTGTAATTCTTTAGTTTCCAAGGAACTTTTGAGGAAAGAGCCCTTTTCTTATTTACCTCACTGAATTGATTTCCTTATTCTTTCTGGTGGTTGCCTTAAATGTAGGAACCGAAAAAAAAAATGCTGCCCTGCCTTTGGGAGAACGCAGTCCCTTTGTGTCATATGAAGGCTGCCTGAATATCTGCTAGCCAAGCACATTTCTGTTTGCAACGTTTAAATTCTAAAGGAACAAATTCTGAATCTTTACTGAGAAACAGTTATCAAAGAAATGGACTAAAACATGCAGTGCACACCAATGAAAGTTTCATTCTTTTGCGTTTTTTTCTAGCTAGTTTCAGTTGACTAGGTCCAGTCATTTAAAATAGATGCTTCCCGGCTGGTCCGAAGGTAGTGAGTTATCTTGCTTGACTGTTCACAGTCAGTTACAGATTGAACTCCTTGTTCTACTACTTTCCCCCCTCCTCACTACTGCACTTGACTAGTCTAAAAAGGAAAAAAGAAAATAGATGCTTCCCAAGTTATAGGGAATTTAAATAATCACAGTTTAGTGCTCACTGTTGATGTCAGTAAAAACAAAAAATATTCCAGTTTACATTTTTTTGAAAAGCACGTATTGAGTATGTAACTTGTTCAAAGTATTTTTAAATAAAATACTTTATTTTAAACAACCTTGGGACATAACTGTTTATATCCTTGTTTTCAGATGAGATGGCTGATTCATAAAGAGATTAAGTAGCCTGTGTATAGTCACACACCTTGTAGTGGTAGAGCTGTATTTTTGAACCCAGGACTCTGTACTCTTAACTATAGTGACTTTCCAATTCCTTTTTGTTCTATGCTAGTATTCAGGCAATTAAAATATACGTGTATTAATAAAATACTAACTAAAGATGTTTCTTTCCTCCTGCTAATCTCAAAATCTGGGCTTTTAAGGAAACTATATCTGAGTTATCGTGATTCTATAAGAAGTACCTGTATGGTGGTTATTTTAATCATAAATTTTAAATTATCTTCAGTACATAATTTAATTGAGACTGTGTCTGGAATTATATCATACTTTGGCCCAAACCAAGTGCTTGAGAGAGCAGCCTCTTCTGCTAACACACACTTAGATGCTATGATTTCTGGTTTTCAATGTAACACTCCTTTTCCCTTTGTCTTTTACAACATGGAGTATAATGCCTTAGTAATAATGTGGAGACTAAGTAAGGAAGAATATTTTTGCATAAATACAATGTTGAAAGACCATTTTACTCATTAAAAATGTCTAAATCTTATTTTAACGGGTAAGGATTAAAGTGTCTCAAAATTGTCTTAATATATGATATTAAATATACATCAGAAGGTAAACAACATTATAGCTTAGGAACCACTGAGGAGGCACATGCCTTAGCTAGACTCATGAAGGCAGCTGAGGCTCCCTGGTACAATGCCTCACATATAAAGACTCTATTTTCTGCTACTGCTTTTGCACACTTTACCTAGCCCGCTGTTTACCTAATAACCATAGTGAGCTTTTATAAAATAGTGGCTCCCCCACTTGAAACTTTCCAGTAGCTTCACAGCGCACATGTGATACACACATACATAAAATCCTGTAATTCACCGTGCACATGTACTACACACATACATTAAATCCTGCAAGCCCTCAACAGATCTCTCCCTGCCTGTCTCCCAGAGCAAGGCAGGGGAGCACACAACTCCAGGGGGTGCCATCCACACAGTGGCAACAGCACCTTTCAGTGCAATGTAGTGGTTCCATCTCTGACTTCATCTCTTCTATCCACCCTCTTCCTCCCAAACACCAAACTCATTTCTGCTTAAACCCTTTTACTTGCCAAGGATCTTCCTGCAAATGACGGTGCCTTTGCAGGAAGACCCTCTCTGACTTTCCAATATAGAGTAAACTTCCTTCCCAGTAACTTTAGCATCATCCTGCCTTGTGCTCTTTAAAGTGGTTCTGCCATCAGAGATCATCTTAATTTATTTAATTCCTATTCCCTTCCTGATGCATTCCATGAGAGCAAAGCCTTTTCTGAATTTGTTCATGACTGGATTCCTGATTAGTAGAATAATACCAGGCACTTACGCATTAAATAAATGAATTCTCCTGCTATTACTCATAAACTGCACTTACATTTTGTCAAACTTTGGTCATAGCTTTTGCTTTTTCATGGCTTCTACTGCCATATTTGACTTTTGCCCCACTACCAGTCTCAGGCTCTGTGTTCTACCTGCCAGCAGGAGGATCTGAATGTTGAACTCATCCTGTTAGGGTCTTGCAGTGCTTCCAGGCAAGATTATCATAAACCCTTAGCCTCTAAGTCCAACTATCTTGGGATTTAGTGTCTATCCTTGCTTCAGTCAACTGTAGTCATCTTCTCGTAGTACAAACAGCATAATAAGTCTCTTAGGAGGAGCAGTGTAATTACAGACACACTGCAAAGTGGTTTTTGCAGTGCAGGACTCAGCTTAAAAGTTGAACATAATTAAAATGTGGCCTTTGTACAAGGATAGACAGATTAATGGAACAGACTAAAAGCTTAGAAATGGACCCACGTAATATTTAATAATAATGTAGAAGTGACATTTCAGAGGGGAAGAAAAACAAATTATTGAATAAATGGTGCTTGTCCATTGAGTTAATTATCTGGAAAAAGTTTGCCTTTTCCTCCCACAAAATTTCATGCAAACTAGTCACTTGAATATAAAAATGCAGGCATCGAAGATTACGGCATTGGCGGTAGCAATTTATTATCTAAGAGGAACAAGAGACAGAATATATGGCTGTGTCAGGGCCACACAGGACTTTAGATTAAAAGCCATTTTAACATGTTAAGCATGATTTCAACAGTGATAGTCTTGGCTTCTAACTGACCTTGCTCCTATATCAGATTACTTACTTATGCTTACTTTTTCTTACTTTTAATGTTAATGTATTTACAGCTTAAGTGAAATATATATGGTAAGTTCATAGTTTATAAAATATGAGAATACGGATGGAGATTTATTTGAGCCAAACGCCACATGAGTACTTGGTCACACATCGTCTATTTCTGTGCCTCTGCATTAGAGGATATTCAGTCACACAGATGCAGCTAAAGTCAGTGCTACAATTTTTAAGTGTTGGATCTCTTCCTTCCTTGTCAGCTGAGTATGTAGTTCTCAGGCAATTCTCTACACCCACTGAAACAGACAGGATCTGAGATCCTGTGATATCCTTTTCCACTTAAACACAAAACTGTTTTGCCCTGTTGACTTCAGCAGCACACATGTGCTGTTACTAAAATAAGAATGATATTCCTAGTGCTCCGTACCTTGACAGAACGTTAACAATATTAAGTTATATTGTACTAAATTAGGACTTAAAAGACACAAATGGGGATTTTGTGTGATCCTTTCAGAGACTACAAAGAATCAAAACAGTTTTGAAAGTGTCAAAATGTGTGTAAGTAAAAATGAATAAAAATTAATGCCAATATTTAGTATACATGGAAATGAGAAAATAATTTCCTAAATGATCCACAATTCACAAATGGTCATTTCAAAAGTTTGCTATTATTCAGTTGCTTAGAACTAAGAATATATTTGATCAACAGGAGGCTTCAGTCTTAGAGAAACCCTCACAAGCAAGCCCACTGTAACTCACTTCTTGAGGCTGGCCAGCCACTCAGATTTTAGGGACAGGGGACGGAGCTCATTCGTTGTCCTACAGAAAGCCGGACCTGTGCTGTCTAGCAAGCTAAAGTAGGTCAGATTTTCCTACTGGCTGCCTCACCTCTCTCTCTGCTTCTGTGGAGCAGCCCAGGTTGGCCTGTGCCACCTGGCCTACTCTATCCTTCAGATGCTTCCTGAACCCCAATTACCTGACTTTTCCCCATTAACACCCTTCACCTGTGTAGCTGATCACACTTTTATACTTAGAAGAGGTACACTTGACCCTGAGCAACACAGTTTTGAACTGCGCGGGTCCACTTATACGTGGATTTTCAATCAAACGCACAGATGGAAAATATGGGATGTAAAGCCCGCATGTACAGAAGGCCGACTTAAGAGAGTTGGGCAGGGCAGACTGTGGGACTTGAGCATGTGCGGATTTTGGTAGGCGGGGACGGGGGTCCTGAAGCCAATCCCCCCAACCCCAACCCGAGGGAGGACTATTTGCATTTTTTTTTTTTTTTTTTGAGACAGAGTCTCACTGTGTTGCCTGGGCTAGAGTGCCGTGGTGTCAGCCTAGCTCACAGCAACCTCAAACTCCTGGGCTCAAGCAATCCTCCTGCCTCAGCCTCCCGAGTAGCTGGGACTCCAGGCATGCGCCACCATGCCCGGCTAATTTTTTCTATATATTTTTAGTTGTCCAATTAATTTCTTTCTATTTTTTAGTAGAGACAGGGTCTCGCTCTTGCTCAGGCTGGTTTCGAACTCCTGAGCTCAAACAATCCGCCCGCCTTGGCCTCCCAGAGAGCTAGGATTACAGGCGTGAGCCACTGCTCCTGGCCAACTATATGCATTTTTAAGAGGGCTCCAGTATTGATATATTCTATTAAGCTGATTATCTTGGTAACGGCCCTAAAAACAGTAAAGACAAGGACACTGGTGATGTTTCAATAGGAAGGATCACCATTTTTTAGATAGTTCGTAAATTCTGGATTTCCATAAGATAATGGAATTTTTTATGAAAGGTTGTTTAGATGCGTCCCCCCCCATCTCATTTTTACAAGAAAAGATCAAGGACTTGCCAAAGAACACACATGATTATTAAAAGGAGAATTTCCTTTTTTCCCTCCCACTATTCACGTAGAGATTCAGAGAACATATAAAATAATGAAACCAGATCAAGATCAAATAGTATATTTGTTGATTTAGAGTTTATTTTGGATGAGGGCAGAAAATGACAATTGGAATAGAAAACAAAAGAACTTTGAGACTGAGCAAGTTTCAGAGGCACATATTTGGACTGATCATATATGGAAAAATTCTACCAGTCCTGGACCGATCCATCCATAAGACTCTCCTTACTTTCCCCACCAAGACATTTGAGTTGATCAGAGCCAACCTGAGGATTCCAAACTTTGGTGGGACTTTAAGTCCTACTCTAAACTCACACTCTGTTGATTTAAACTAAATCTTCCCTCTCAGAAACCGTCCAAGCTGGGATGAACTCAGGGATGGGCACATTGCCCAAGGTTGTTCTATGTCTGGATGAATCTCTTTTTTCACCATCTTCCCCTCCTTAATATGAAGACTTGTATGCCCTGGGCTTACCATTGAACCAAGCTGGTTTCATAAAGAATCTTTAAGACTACGTTTTTTTTTTGAGACAGGGTCTCGCTCTGTTACCAGGGCTAGCTAGAGTACAATGGCGTCATCATAGCTCACTGCACCCTCAAACTCCTGGACTCAAGAGATTCTCCTGCCTTGGCCTCCCAAGTACCTGGGACTACAGGCGCACTCCACACACCTGGCTAATTTTTTCATAATATTTTTTGTAGAGACGGGGTCTTGCTCTTGCTGAGGCTGGTCTCAAACTCCTGAGCTCAAGTGATTCTCCCGCCTCGGCCTCCCTGAGTCCTGGGATTACAGGTGTGAGTCACCGCGCCACCCTAAGTCTACATATTCTTGAATCACAGTTTATGTCATGCTAATTGAATCCTAGTTGAGTACCTAACTCCATGGTAAAATTCTTAAGGTTTTTAGACATTTGGTCCTTAGCCATTTAAAAGGACTCTTTGTGTTGGATTGTGAGCTGAGGCATTCTAGGGTAGCTTAGGGTACTAACACCTGTTTTTGTGTTTGTAGTCTTTGGCTGATGAACTTGCTCTTGTGGATGTTTTGGAAGATAAGCTTAAAGGGGAAATGATGGATCTGCAGCATGGGAGCTTATTTCTTCAGACGTCTAAAATTGTGGCAGATAAAGGTAATTTCATTTCATACCCCAAGTGACCTGATATTGATTATTTTAATGACAAAAAATACATTTGAAATGCATCTTACAGCATAATAGACTTTTAATTAGGAAAAGTTGAAGTTTTAAAACAATTATTTCAATAACTTAATAAAATGTTCAAGATCGAGTTTAGTGATTTCAAATTACTGAAAAATTTTCATCTCATTGTAAAATTTTTCCCTTTTTTCTCGTTTTATAAAATTCTTATTTTCTACTATATTCTACTTGTCATTTCTAAATTAATTTTGCATTCACTTGTTAATGAGCAATCACTAAAAATGAGTTTGCTAGCCATAAATGGTAATTGATAAGTCACTAAGAGAAAATAACAAATTGTGATTTATAGCATTGTTTGGTTTGTTGTGCCATCGTTGTCCTATAGGCCAATTTTCTTTTATCAGTTTCTAGAAACCTGCTTTCTAGCCATTCTTTTGAAATGTGCCCATAGGAAATGATCATGTATTCCATGCTTCGCCTGCCACACTAGTTATCTTTATCCCTAAAGCAGATGCTTTTTCTAAAATGAAAGTTTGAATCCTTAAAGATTTCTTGTCTTTTTATACACCTATAACTATTCTAAAACCTCTAGCAGGGCCCACACAGATCTTCCCAATTTGGACACAACCTGCATTTCCGCACATCTCAACATCCTTCTCTCCTCCCTCATTCTGTTATAAAATTAGTCTCCCTGTCGTGGTGCATATAGTATTGGCAGTTTCTTCTTTTCTTCTGGGTCCAATTCATCCTTAAGGACAAACTCAAGTATTATTTCCATTAACTCTTTCCCACATACCTTCTCCACATTTGATAATGTAACACTTTAGGACATTATATACAAGGGCTTTGTTTATGCCTATTTGAGAACAGAAATATTTTAGACCCGAAATAATATTTGTACAAGGTAATTTGAGTACCTGGAAGAAACTACATAATAGCTGTTATTTATTTATTGAATTAGTGACATTTTGGGTACTATGCGAAGCATTTTGCATGTGTTTCTCATGTTAGTGCATCTTCACAGCGACCGAAGTATCGGTACTATAATTACCCTCATGTTATGGGAGAGGAACCTGACAATGTATTAATAACTGTCAAAAGTCACATTGTGGGGGGGGCAAGGGCAACATACATAACCTAAACATCTGTACCCCCATAATATGCTGAAATAAAAAAAAAAGTCACATTGCAACACAGTTTTATTATATGAATCATCCATAGCTATTGTGTCTCATGATCGCATCAAATCATAATGTCTGTGTATTTTGTAAAAGGACACACTTCCTTGAGAAAAAATAACAATGTTCTTTAGAGAAACTCACACTGCTAAAAAGTGAGTAAGCTTTCTTAAAATATTGAGTATTAGCAATCTAAGTTCAGGTTCCAGCCAAAACAAACACTTCTGTGCCTTCTTTCCATTTATAGATAATTAATTAACATTTTAATAAGCTACATGAAAAGGATTTTTTTGTTATAGTTGGAAGTCTGCCGATTAGACTCACTGTGCTTCATTTTATTACTGACAATCCGTTGAATTTGTTAGCCAGAAACATAATTTAGTGTCATGTTTATTTCCTTCATTCATTTTCTGAACCAATTTTATGTTTGGATTGCTTCAGTGTAGACCAAGGAAGAAAAAAGAAGCCACAGGAACATTGAATTTTAAACTCCGATAGTCCAGAAAACGTAATTCTTATATAAGTTCTAGAAGTTTATGTTTGATGAAGAGTTACATTAATGTACGTGGTTTTGCCCCTCTTTTTTAAGATTACTCTGTGACCGCCAATTCTAAGATTGTGGTGGTAACTGCAGGCGTCCGTCAGCAAGAGGGGGAGAGTCGTCTCAATCTGGTGCAGAGAAATGTTAATGTCTTCAAGTTCATTATTCCTCAGATCGTCAAGTACAGTCCTGATTGCATCATAATTGTGGTTTCCAACCCAGGTATTGTTATAATACTTTAAGTCTCAATTCCATTAAGTTCACTGTTTTGGGAGTTTTGTTGTTTTGGACTTAAAATCTGTCTCAGTATTCACTTACAGAAGCAATTCACATGTCTCCTGTTACTGGTCACAAAGGAGTGGTGTTTGCAAAACAAATGTCCCAAATGTTCAAAAATGCGAGAAGAGTTTTGATAATTTCATGTTTTTGCTTCATCTGGGTTTGTTGTAGATACTAAAGGCTTTTAAAATTTTTTGTAAAGATTATCCTGGGATGCAGAATGCAACATTTGAATGTGGCTTCTATTTGTAAGGAACATTTTAATGTATTTGATCTTCTGTTTCTGGAAAAATCCTATTCTTCTGAATTGAATCAGAATGAAGAGTTGAAGAAAGCCATTAACAAGTTCTGTTTTAAAGATAGAAATGGACTGTATTGATGGACAAACACATGTTAACATCATATGTTGGGACTTAAAAACTGCTTTCCTTACTAAATTAACATCTGCAGAATAAATGTTAACTGACTAGAGAGAGTGCTACATTTTTAGCCTTAATCTTTAAGATTCACTCTGTTTCACACTTCTTTTGTTTATAATTTGCCACCAAGCTTACCACATGTTGGTGAGCATAGTAGATACATTGATGGAATGGTAAAACTGATTATCTGTGATACTTTACAGACAGAAAGATTACGAATAAGAGCCAGGGAAATTTTACAGTTTATTGAATATTGACAGTTGGGAGCCAGCAAGGATAGAGATTATTTCAGTGTTATTCTTACTCTCTGCAAACCTGGATTGGCATTCATTAAACAGTACAGTCTTATATATAAAACTTCTCATAAATATGTATGTACCAGGTAGATGTAGAACAGGGGTGACAAGTAGCGACCGTGTATTAAGTTGCTGCATCCTGTCCCTCAGGCATACGTGAGTAACTGATTATACCACTTTCTAGGTATAGCTTCCCAGTCTCATGCTCCAGGGAGTCACTTCTACCAAATCAAAGTTGGCAAAGAACAGTTATTTAGTCCAAAACGTCCTTAAAATACCTTAGCTAGTATGTATAGGTGAGTGTGGAGGTGGAGACTGAAGGATTAACTTCCAGCTTGCCTCCTTACCTTCCTTGTGTGCACATTTTTATACTTTTTGCAGCTTGTTAGCCCATAAGTGCTGTGATCCTGTCTGGACCAACAAAAGTTTTACCTCTGTGCAATTTGAAGGCTATGCCACACTGGAACAAAGGTTCTGTCATGGATGTTCTTTTATTAAATAGTAGCACATTTTAATACCATGTATTATCACAATTGTTTACTGAATAATGTCATGTCCAGAAAATTTATAGTAGCATGCCTTGGTAATTTAGTAATCAAAGGGTTTTTGGTTTGTGATGAGAGTCCTTACAATCATGGAATGTTAGAATTGGTAGAAACTTAAGTGACAGTCTCACCCCTAATTGACATAGCAGTTGAAGTCAGTTTGGATTTACTTACATATGTTATTTCTAAAATTTTTAGTGGACATTCTTACGTATGTTACCTGGAAACTAAGCGGATTACCCAAGCACCGTGTGATTGGAAGTGGGTGTAATCTGGATTCTGCTAGATTTC